GGGGGGGGGGGGGGTTGAAGATGTGTTGATGGAGAATTTGATGATGTTGATGGGCAGCTAAAGGAACGAAAATGGTGGCAAATTTGGTTGATGGATGAAAGGTAAGGGAATGGTGGTGATTTTGGTTGATGTTTTTAGGGTGGGGGTGAAGGTGAGGGAGAAGAAAATTTTCTTTTTCCTTTTTATTTTTTCTTCTTCTTTGTTCTTTTTTTGTTGTTTTTTATTTAAGTTTTTTAATGTGAAAAGTATAAAGTTACCATTTTGTCCCTTTATAATTGATTAATATGTGGTCAAAGTCCACTTTTTGGATCAACTAACAGAAATAAGGATGAAATCCATCCACCGGGGCTTCTTTATTTACAAAGGTTTGGGGTGACGACTGTCACAAATAAAAATTTAGGGAAAAAGTCTACAATTTTTTTAAAGATTTGAGGCCTCGACTGCAATTATCTCTATAACAAATATCATATAATTTAGTACTTCTCATTAACAAGTTTGAAAACAATTTAATTGCATCGATCCAACACAATTTGTATAAAGAAAAACTCGAAATATTGAACTAAAACATGAGTAGATGTTAATTAGTTATATCCTCTGTCCTAACAAATAATTTATCCAAGAAACATCATGAAGAAATCAAGACGACAAGAATTTATAATAGACATTACATGTAAATTTAATAACAATATATCTTCAATTTTTAATTCCAAGAGTTATAACATATTCATACTTGAATCCTCTTTAATTTCTTGACATCTCTATATGATTTCTCCCATAAGATGAGTTTTGATATGATTTATTTGATATCCAAGAAGTGTTTTCTCGCCAATCTCTTCTCATGTCCAATTTTTTATACTAGAATTTTCCATCTTTTGGTCCTTTTTAAGTCCAATTCTGTTCTTTTTTTCCATTAATCATCTTCAAATTTAGGGTTTAAACAAAAAAGACAATACATTTGCTAATATGAGCAAAAATTCGTCCAAATAATTAATTATTAAATAGAACTAATAACCTCGATAAGAAAGAAAAACGGACATATTAAAAAAGAATAAAATTCGTTCGAAGTGTCATCACTCGTGTATTTGAAATCGTACCTTGTATCTCTAAAATTTTTCGCAAAAGCAAGAGCACGAAAAGTCAAATAAAGAGATTAAATATTACCCATTTCAAAATTAAGAACAAAAGATTTCAAATTTTAAAAGCAAATAATTTATTAAAATTTATTTATGATTAAATTAATTAATTATATATTTTATTAATTAAATATATTAAGATCGCAAATTTATATAATTTGATCACAAATTAACAATTTAGTTAGTCACATATTTTTTTTAGTCACAAATTAGAATTTTTATACGTCACAATTGAAACTTATATATGTCACAATTTGTTCATACAAATCAAAAATTTATAAATCACAATTTATTTATCGATTACAAATCACAAATATTATAATTCATAACATATTATACAGTCACAAATTATCGATTATAAATTAACAATTTTTGAAGTTACATTATTTGTTGATCACAATTCATATTTTTCATTGGTCATATATTGTTTATTGATCACAAATTAACCAATTAATGATCACAATCAATCAAATAATTTGTGATCACCACCAACATTTGCGACCACCATCTCACTACTACCTCCAACATCACTACCACTACCGTCATTGTCAAAACCACCAACACCACATCCTTACAACAACCCCACCACCTCCACAACCATCGCATCGCTTGCACCACAACTAGCTGTGACTACCACCGTCAACAACGCCAATTTGTCACCACACCATCTAACCAGCGCCAAAGTCTATCCGCACCACCACCAATAAAAAAATCCCAAAAACCAATAAAATCCGACTACATCCACTAACAGATGAACCACCACTTCTGGTGCC